CAAAATTGGCTTCCCATCCAGAATACACTTCATATTGGCTCAGTCAAGGATAGTACCACATATGTTATTGTCAACACATAATTTTGCATTTATTTCTTATATATTTTGCTTCTATTTTTCTCCTTGAATCCTTCCCACTTGCCTTCTTCCATTCCCTAACCTCCTGCCACACTGTCTCTGGTATCTACATTTGCTTTCCATTTTTTTTTCACATTTTATTGATTCACAAAATATTTTCAGTATCATGTAATTAATCTCTGTTCTGTTGTACATGTAGTGTTACTGTGGTCTGATCTTACCATTTACATTCTGGAAGTTAACATTCAACATTATTATTGATCTTTCCAGACTTGTCTATTCCATAAAGTTGACCATTTTATTTGCTGCTTTTGTACTCTTAGTTCTGGGTGTTTGTTTCTAATTTTCCTAGTATAGCACTCCCTTCAGAATTCTTGGAGAGTTTGTCTAGTGTTGGTAAATTCTTTCAAGTTTTGTTTTTTTGACAATGTTTTTTTGTCTTTTCTTCCCACAAGAAGGATAATCTTGCTGAGTATAGTATTCTTGCTTGAAATTTTTTTTCACTTAATACTTTGAATATATTTCCCATTCTTTCCTTATTTACATTGTTTCTGATGAGAGCTCTGATGTTAGCCTGATGGAATATCCTTTGTAAGTATCTTGACATTTCTCTCTGTCAATTTTAGTATGTTGTCTTTGTGGATTTGGTCAATCTGGCTATGATGTGCCTTGGAGATCTCCTGGGTTGATTCCATTTGTGGTCTTTAGTATTTTGGGGGTCTGGATATTTTGATGCTCTCCAGGCTTTGAAAGTTGTCTTCCAGGATTTCATGAAAGAGATTATCAATGTCCTTATTCATTTCTTCACCTTCTGGGATACAGATTATCTGGATGTTTGGGCATTTATTGGTATCTAGTATTTCTCGTATACTATTCTCATTTTAGAGGGGGTTCCTTTCTCAATTATTTTGGTGAAATTTTCTAGGTTAGAGGATCTGTCTTCTACATCTGAGATTTGATCTTCTGTATGATCTAATCTGCTTTTAATACTTTCAAGGGAGGTTTTGTAAAATTAATTAATTTATTTTTTATTTCATTTTCTTTTATACATTCCATTACATTATTTAGCTTACAAAGTAAATATTTCAACAGGTGAACATTTCTCCCTAGTCCAGTTGATAAAACTATAAAATATCTTCAAAGATAATACCACATTTCTTTGTCCCATTAGTGCTTTGCCTCCCTATTTTTCTTCTAAATGTCCTTCCTCAAACCCTACTCTTTCACACACACTATATCTGGTATGTACATCCATATACTGGGAGGTTTTGATCCTGTATTACAATACTCATATCTGACAGTTCCATTTGACTCTTTTTATAAAAGATGTGTGTTTCTTCTTTCAAATAGTGCAAGAGCTTCCTTACCTCCTGTAACTCATTGTCCCTTTTATCCTGCACCTTCTGGAGTTTGCTGTCTCTCTTCTCTTGCATCTCTGTTATTTTGTCACTATGAATATTCTGAATTTTTTATCTGACATTTCCATGAGTTCCATTGTACTGTCTGTGGATGATGAAGAGTTATTCTTTTCCTTTTGAGGAGAGTTATTTTATTGGTTTTTCATATTTCTTGTGCCTCTGCAGTGGTTTCTGGTCATCTGATGGACTATATATTTCTTCCTAATTTCTTGGAGTTGAATGTGAGCATTCAGAGTCATGCAGGAGAAGATGATCTGCAATCTCTCTGTAGTTCCATTTCCTTGATGCTCCCCAAGCAATCTGTACTTTTAAAATTGGAACTGGATATTAAAAGGGCTGGCCAGTTTCAGTGACATCTTGGCTGACCTGAGGGGTTTAAACAGAGTTTGGAGGCATGCAGGAGAGAAGCTGTGCTCTCTCTGAAGCTCTTTCCTTCTCCCTGCTGCTCACTCTATGGTCTCTCTTCTCTGAATTTTAGTCATTTTGTGATGCGTTCACTTTTGACTAATTTGTGGGAGGTTTCTGCAACTATAAGCTCATGTGGTTCCCTTTACCGTGAGGTACTTCTGTGCCAATTTCTCTCCTCTACTGTGTTTTGTAATGTGGTATCCACAGAAAGAGGTTTCAATTCAGATGTATGAAGAGGAGTTTTTTCCAATTGTGTAGCAGGTCCAGTGAGAATTGAGGATTTCTCTCACCCTGTCCAGATTGTAGGGTGTGGAGGGTGAAGTTAGAAGCAGAAAATCTTCAATTGCCTTACTCCACAAAATTCTAATTCTTATTCTTCCCATGCTTTGAGGTCAGAATTCAATAATTGATCCCAAGTAAATTAGTATGTCCACTTGGAAGGCTGAGAGAGTACAATGAAGTAAACACAATGGGAGTGTCAATTGACGGCAGTGGTGCTGGTGCTCCAGGGGGGAGAGGGGCTTGGACTTGGTCTAGTGATGACCGCAATGTTCCTTGTAGTCCATTTATGCTATTTCTTAGTTGAGTTCCTAATTCTTGGATTCTGCTGCCTTTTAATTTCCAGTTCTTTTCCCTGAGGTTCTTGTCTATTCTATCAAGGGCAAAAGTGTCCAATATAACCTCATCAATTTCTTTCTTCATCTTACTCCTCTCCATTTGCTTATTTAAATTTCTCAATTAAGTAAGATTCCTAAGTGATACAGAATTTTCATTTACTTATTTTTCATGCCTTTAGTAATAATTTGAATCCATCTCCAGGAAATATATGTGTACACACATTCCCTCTGAATAGAGAACTGTAGGACAGAATAGGTGTTAGCAGATGCTTTCTTTATTGCCTGATGGTGTGAATAGCTGACATATGGTTTGTACATGTAGAAGCTACTGGGAGTCTGTAAGAAAGAACCCATTGTTCAATGGAATGTGGTGAAGAGCCCTGATAATAAATATGAGAGAACATGACATAAGTTGATCACTCACTGAATATAAATTATATCATTTATGATTATTTTTCTGCTAGACATTCAAGCAGAAACCAGGAACTTGGCAGATAACTCTAAACGAAAGAATTGGTTTGAAAATGGAAAATACAGCAGTGTGCCTGGAGCCCTGAAAATCCCTTCACAGTCAGTCATACAGATTCAAAGGATGAAACCTATGTTAAGCTAATGTTAGTAAAAGTTACAGCACTTAAGTGTAATGTAAAATGTTTACACCCTCATTGCAGATAATCAGCTTCTATCAAACTTAAAAGTAAAAACAAAATTCTGGGACCAGCAGTTAGCATAATGGCTATGTCGCTGGATTCCCATGTAATCGACAGCAGTTCGCATCCCAGACCCAGTGGCTTAAACTCATGCCTGGCGTGCGTGCATGCCCTAGATCCCAAAAGGAGAGTGGAGGAAAAGGGATTGCCATGTGGCCATCCCCCTCTCTGTCTGTCTCTCTGTCTTTCTGGCACACACATGCACCCTATAGCAAAAACCTCTCCAGAAAAAGAAAAAAATAATAATAAAAAGTAAAAACAAAATGGCTAAGTATGAAAAAGTAACCAAGAGGACCTGGCACCACAAGAGAAGCAAGAATAAACAATTTGCTAAGTACCTATAAAGTCTATAGTGTGCATTAGTTCCATGAAGAAAAGTAATATGTTGTTGTGTTAGGGAATAATAGTAAGGATGAAAAGATAGGCTGCTACTCTTCATTAAAGAAGCTGACAAAGCAAAAGAAAATAAAAGTAAATCATACATCAGTGGACTCCCACACAGTCAACTATGGTTTGAGTCCCTTTGAGTCCTGGACCAGGAGGCTTAAACTCACACCAGGCACATGTGCATGCCCAAGATCCCAAGAAGAGAATGGAGAAGAGATTGCGGTTTGGCCATTCTCCTGGAAAGTGATTTCTCACTTTCTGTTTCTCTGGCATGTGCCCTATAGCAAAAACCTCTTA